AAATAAACCTTATACAAAGCAGTCAAAATGTCTTTTCAGTGCAAACAGTGAACAAGTTAGTTGAAAAATTGTTTACCCAACCCAGTTTGTTTAATTTTCTATACAGGGGAATGTATAAACTCGTGAAAGTAAACTTGCCATATTAGCCGTAGATAGAGGGCACTCTCAAGGGACAAATGTCTGCTTTTAAGTAATCTTATTGGTTGTGAAGATCAAACGTGAAGTGTTACTAAAAGCTGTATTGAAGTACATACAACTCACTCACCTAATTACTTTTACTTTGACAAGAAATTCATATTACGTAGGCATTTAAATCAGATGTGCATTTCTCAGTGAAGAACTACTGTAAAATCTGTATTAGAAGCCGCGGCTTCTATTAAAATGGTACAATGCAACAGAGGGGATGCGGCTTCTATTAGAGCATCTACACATATGAGAAATGATGAATTTTTGGTTCTCAATTATTCAAATAGAATGGATGCGACTTCTATTAGGGATGCGGCTTCTAATACAGGTTTTACGGTACTTCCTGTTCAATATCCACTACTCCATAAGCATGAGATTGGTGGGAGAAGAGTAAACTTGCACAGAGAAAAAAAATTGGGTGTTTCCTATACTTTTTGCGCGTTTTTGAGAAAGGTTCACAAATCTGTGCCAATTGTGAATGAGATTACAAAGAAATTGAAAACTTTTGCAAAACTGGGTAATGTAAACAACTTTAAATATTATTTATGACTTTGTATTTACAAAACAGTCTTTACATGCAAGAAAAAAATAAAACACAGTTAAAACCAAACAAATATGTCGACAATTTTATAAATAAAAAACTTAATGAGTTATTCATCGCTTATTAAATGGTACTGTATATACCCCATATAACTCTATATAATCTAAGGATATTTATATTAAAATTATTTTGTAAATCGTGATGCATGATATTTCACAAAAGAAAAAAAAAGCTGAAAATGGCGGTGGTAGTCATGCTGGACATGTTCAAATTTCAAGCAAACAATGTATGTGTTGTGTACATCGCTATGCGTTCCATATCAAAATTGATGTTGTCTTTTCAAATCCATCAGCCCTGATTTGATTCATGTTTTTTTTTTCATTGCTGATGTACATGTAGTTGTAGTTGCACTTATATAGGCAGGAGGTCAGTTACAAGAGTAGATTTCTAATGTTTTTCTTTCTCTACTAGTACATGTAGTTACCATAACAACCTTTCATACAATTTGGCTTGCTGTGTTTGATATTTGCATATGTGACGTGCGAGGAATCAAATTTTGAAACCTTCTTGCATGTTATGCAAATTAGTGATACTGATGTCAGTAGTATACTAATATCGTGTTCGCTTTGAACTGAATTAATGTTTCATTTTTTATGCGGGTAATCCAATTATCATTCGTATGGTCTTGGGGGAAAGTTATTTGTCAATTTAGCAAATCGTTGTTAGTACATGTATTCAGTATTAAATGTGCACTTTATATTATAGACAGCCTAAATACTAGTCTAAGATAACTTTGTATTTATGCACATGCATTTTTTTCATGATCCGATTAACGATAGCTGAATAGCGGCCATTTTAAGGCCGAAAGTGCATCAAAATCGCACATTTTCACCATTCCGGACCCGGATCTCAGTTATGCATGGACGGATTTTGTTCAAATTTGGTACATACATTAAACATAATAGGACCTTGATGCACGTCATTTTTGGATCGGGTTTGAAATGGCCGACTGGC